GGCCGGGGCTGGGGCCGGGGCCGGGCCGAGGGGCGGGGAAGGCGCCCCTCGACTTTATTTCTATCCGGGCAGAAAACGCCCCCTGTCTCTGCTGATGAATTCTGGGTGACACTTTACTCCCTACAAATAAGACGTATTTTCTACCTCAGCATCCTAAAAGCAAATAACCGATTCCCGGTGGTTGTGGGGTTTGCAACTAAAGCATGGTGGCGGAATTACCCCGCTGTGTGATAAACGCACCGAAGGCCAAACCCTGCGGCCTAAAAGGCTGGGAAGTGGTGCCTGGAAGGGAAGGAGGAAAGAGACATTTCCCTGGGAAGTCTAAAAAGACCTTCAATGACGTGTGCAGACAAAAGTAACGGTTTTGCAGAGTTTTGCCTCCCCTGCAGGAGCGAGGAGGGATCACGCAAGTGCAGGAGCTCATGGGCTGAAGGACGGACGGGGGTTCCTGCAGTAGCCGGAGTCCGCTCAGTGAGCACAGCGTGGCTGAGGCTACCTCAGAGAAACACCAGGCAAAGGGCTGAAAACATCCAGAAAAAGACAGAAACTGTTTACAGTTGAGTCCTGTGTCCAGTTCTGGGGTTCCCGGCACAAGAAAGACACGGACCCATTAGAGCGGGTCCAGAGGAGGCCACAAAAACGGTCAGAGGGCTGGAACACCTCTCCTATGAAGAAAGTCTGAGAGAGTTGGGGTTGTTCAGCCTGGAGAGGAGAAAGCTTCAGGGAGACCTTATTGCAGCCTATCAGTACTTAGAGGGGGCTTATAAGACAGATGGGGACAGACTTTTTACCAAGGGCCATAGTGACAGGACAAGGGGCAAGAGTTTTAAACTGAAAGAGGGTAGATTTTGATCAGACCTAAGGAAGAAATATTTTACAATGAGGGTGATGAGACACTGGAACAGGTTGCCCAGAGAAGCTGTGGATGCCCCGTCATTGGAAGTGTTCAAGGTCAGGTTGGACGGGGCTTTGAGCAACCTGACCAAGGGAAAGATGACCCTGCCCACAGCAGGGGGTTGGACTGGATGATCTTTAAAGGTCCCTGCCAACCCAAACCACTCTATGATTCTGTGATTGTACCTCATAAAAGAACACACAGATGGCAGAGCAAAGTGTAAGAGATTCACCATACAAGCCTGTTCATAAAACACAAGGACATGGATGAGTCTGGTAAGGTTGTAGCCCCATTGGGACAGAGAAATTCCAGTCACCACCATTTTGACTCAGCCACCTGTGTGTACAGCTTAATATGGACTCTACTAGTCCAATCTTAAACTCTTTAACAAAATTCTCGTATAAAGACAGGCTGTAGTTTGTTGTTGTTTTGTTTTTTTTTTTTCTTTTTAGAAATCTGCTCTAGCCCAGGAATTACAGAGGGCCAGTAGAAGATGTCTTCTATGCTTTCCTCTCAAAAAAAAAAAAAAGACAACAACCCACCAAAACCTACCTTTTTAAAATCAGATCATTGATTAGACCATCTTTGTGAGTGAATTTGCAACACTGAAGACAAAATAAGTCATTCTATTAGATAACACTTTATGAAAGGTTTATTTTTTTTAATATAGATGCATTTTCCCAAGAGCTTTGCTTATTTTCTTTCTTTTGTTCGTGCAGACTGGAATTAAACAAAAATAATTATTTGCACATGCAGCATTTATTTCTTAGAAAAACAGGAGTGCCAGCTCACTCTTTTCCTTCAGCTGTCCTTTTTCTGGGATTCCACCTCTGTCTGATGGGTGAGGTTAGGATCTGACTCCTAACAGGAGGAATGGAAGAGGGCAGAACAGAACAGACAACAAATCAAAGATTTCAGTAGAAGGCTGGACCCTTTGGTAGAATAGGGAGAAATACCCTAGAAACTGTCCTGGAGAGCAGCTGCGTTGGCACAGAACAGCTAGTATGTCTCCAGGGGATTTCTCCGGCGTCCAGCAGAAGAGGTAGCTGCCGTAATTTGCATCGTCTTTCTGCTCTGTGTGTTGAGCGCCCTCTCCCAGCCGTACTGGGAATTCAAGAGGCAATCATGCA